TGCAGGGTCCCCTCGGCCGGGCCCTCCTCCGGGGCCGGGTGCGGAGGGGAGGCCGCGGCCTCCGTGTCCGAGTCGGAGAAAAGCTCCTTCAGCGTCTTTTTGGGCCACTGGCCCTGGATGCTCGACCAGACATCTTTGCGATCTTTCGCTCGGCTGTTCTGGAGCCTTTCGTCCGAGTTGTTTAGAAGCTTGATCCTTTTTTCTGCCACTTCGGAGAACCCCGAATAGAAGCCAGTCGTCCGCAGGGATTTCCTCTTTTCCTCCAAGCCGTTGTATTTCTTGGTTGGTGTCAGCTTCGCTTTTGATTTTTCTTCTTCGTCTTCATCAGAAGAGCTGTTGCTGCTGTTTTCTACGCAAAGTGCGTCTTTGCTCTTGGCCTTGTCGTCCTTCTTGCTGGGCGACCCGGTCTTCGCACACTCCTCCGTGTTGCAGTACCTTCTTTTCCCACGTTTGACCTGTGGCTTCGAGGATTTCTCGGGGGTGTCTTTCTTGACATCCTTTCTCTTTTTTGTGACTTCATCTTCTTCATAATCCGTATCTTCGGACAATCCTTCCATGTCTTTTCTTAACCTTTCTGGAGATTTCGACGCTGGTTTAGCTATTACCAAATCTGCATGGACCTTGCTTTCTTCCAGCAAAAACGAACTGTTCTGTTCCTCCTTTGAAAGGAGGTCGTTTCTGGCGTGGGCCAGATACTCCGTCTTCGCTTCCTCTTTGCCAGTGCTGTCCACGTGAGCACCTGTCTCCTCCTCCCGCTCACTGTCCTCAGAACTCTCCGAAGCTGGAAAAGTAAGAAGAAAATCGATGTATGACAGGAAGATTAGCAGTATCTTCTCTGCGCCGTGCACTTTATATATTAGCTCCTATGCTTATAGCCACCCTGCTCGCCAGGTTTTATCCCATTTTACAAGTGAGGAAACTAAAGCTTCTGAGAGTTAAGACACTCACCAATAGCGGAAATGCCTACGTGTGGAGCGATGGTTCCACTACTATATACTTTTGCCATAACATATAAACTTGTAAACATAAAAGTAGTGAATTTTATTGTCTGTAAATTATGCCTCATTAAAGCTGTGAGGTGAGTGTTTGAGGAGTGTGTTTTTATCATCCCTGTTTTATAGTTTAGGAAATTAGGATTTAGAGAGGTTAAACTACCCCAAAAGGCAAGAGAAAGTCAATTTAAGTCATTTGATTCCAGAATTTAGAATCTTAACTATAACAGTCTAAGAAATCCATGTAGTATGTTCTTGGTTTAAATTAAAAAAAAAGAGAGACAATTAAGATGGGTAAAAATATTAAAAATTTTCAATGTGTTCCTGCATAACTAAATTTTTTAAAATGATCAAAGCAGTACATATAGGTGGTTATAACTATTTCTATTGATAGTTATTACCACCTTCTCCTAATATTATTCTATTCGTTGATTTATGAAGTTTAACCTGATATAAGCAATGAGGATTTTCTCTTATTAACACCTCATCCTCTTCCCCCATACTTTCTCTCTCTATATTTAAATATAGTATTTATAACATGTAAGTATGGTTCATTGCAGAAACAGTCCACTTGTTATTTTCTTTCTGGTATAGCCTTTTATTTTTCAAGGAGTTTCCAAAAGTTCTTTTCTACTCATTCTTCTTCCTTTCTTATGTCTTTCACATTTATTTCACTGCTCCATTAAGTCAAGCATTCTCTCCAATTTCCTCACTCACCCAATCTCTACCCTGGAGGCCTATTTTCTGCTCCATCTAGGGGGCTGCTCTCTGGGTCAGTTCTAACAGCCACCATTCTAGGAATCTCCTGCAAGTTTTCTCGTGACCCAAACCCACTGTTAAAACAATCTCACATCTTCCTTGTTCTAGGTTTATTCCCATGTTGTGTTGGACCACCTAACGGTTTCCTTAAACAGTACATGGGAGGAAAATAGTCTTTGTCCTTACACGTCTGAATACATCCTGACCCTCAAACTTTATTGTGTGATTTGTTTAACCAGGTGCAGAATTCCAAGTTGAAATTATTTTCCTTCAAAATTTTGAAGGTGCGGCTCTTTTGCTTACAGTGTTGAAAACACTCTTTCCCCAGGAGGGGGCGTGTAGGAGGCAGCCGACTGAAAAACATTACTGACCAGAGGCCCGATGCACAAAATTCGTGCAAGAGTAGGCCTTCCTTCCTCCAGCTGCAGGCACCAGCTTCCCCCTCTCGCCCGGGACCTGGGCTTCCCTCCAGCCACCGGCAGGCACCAAGGACCCAGGTGTCCCCTGCAGCCCAGGCTTTGTCCAGAAGGTTGTCCGGAAGGATGCCCGGTCTAATTAGCATATTACGCTTTTATTATTAAAGATAAAATGTACTGTGGCATGGCTCTTTCTTCATCACTTCAAGTACTTGAGGGGCTCTTTCCATTTAAAGATTTCTGCCTGTCAGTTCTAAAAATATTTCCTCTTTTAGTTACTTGCTAATTTCTCCTCAGCCCTGACCAGGGTTCGTGAAGGAGGCAACCAATTGATGTGTCTCTCTCACGTCGATGTTTCTCCCCCTCCCCCTCTCCCCCTCCACTCTCTTTAAAAATCAATGGGCAAATATCCTCAGATGAGGATTAACAACAAAAAAATCTCAACTCTTTTCAAGTTACAAAAAATGTTAAAATATTTTTTGTTGATTTTTTAATATATTTTATTGATTTTTTACAGAGAGGAAGAGATAGAAAGTTAGAAACATCAATGAGAGAGAAACATCGATCAGCTGCCTCCTGCACATGCCCCACTGGGGAAGCGCCCGCAACCCAGGTACATGCCCCTGACCGGGATCGAACCTGGGACCCTTCAATCCGCAGGCCGACGCTCCATCCACTGAGCCAAACCGGTTTCGGCTGTTAAAATATTTTTTATGGAGACACATTCTTTTGCTTCATTTGATAGATCAGATCTTCCCCCCCTTTTCCCTGCCAGCCAGATTTATAAACCTCCCCCTCCCACCAGTCTTTATCACTGTTATTATCTGATAGTTACACTTCATTCTGCTGTAAATATTAAGCAGTAATGTCACCATAAAAGAGAATATAATAAATGTAATCAAGATAAGCAAAGTTAAATATTCTTTACAAAAAATTCAATTTAATTTTATATTCTAATATGGCATAACACCAACTGTGCTTTCCATGGCAACAGAAAAGATGGAACCTGAAAAAAAGCACTGAATCAATACAATAGGGTGAATATTAAATTTTAACTACAATTTACTGGTGCCCTTGGATCTACTAACAGAAATATTTCTAAGCCTCAATCAATGGCTGGTTTTATTTCAAATAACAGAACCAAAAAAAATTATGGTTCAATTAAAAAACCAATTTGATGTTAATGAATTTTACCTTTATAAAATTTGATATATAAAAACTAACAACAAACACTTGCATGCAAAAAGGGCATTTATTTTATTTACCTTGAAGTCCATTAAGGATAGAAGTAATTTCTATGGATTTAATATGAGCTGTATCCGAGTTTTTGGCATCAGTAAGGTCCAGTTTAGATACTATTTCAGGAGATGAATTTGTCTGAAATGGTGGTTTTGACAAGCGTCGAAGTTTACAGTTTTTAGGAGAGTATTTTTCATCTTTGTCTTTTTCTTTGTCTAACTTATTCTAGGTTAAGGGGAGAAAAAGTATCTCATGTTAGCCATAATTTATCATGAGGCATTTATTAGTAACATTGTTAATACTAATTTTAACTCTTAAAATATATTAAATAACAAAAATATACGAAAGCCCCTCAAAACAGCCACAGATGTTTTTTCAATATTATTTAACATATAATGCAGGATAAACAAAAAGTTTTTGTCTAATATTTATATTTAAATAGCTGAAATAAATTAGCCATCTGACAGACAATTAAGACTAGCATGCCTCTGGAATACCTGAAACCTATATAACTTTGTTAACCAATGTCACCCCATACTTTCCAACAAAGACCGAGAGTGAAGATGAAGTGTTTGATGAGGCCTGAGCTGTAGCTACTCAGTTGCTGTACCAAAACTTAAATATGGACCCAATGTTACAGGGAGAAAAGAATAACCATTTTAGGGGAGAGCTTTCACTATTAGCAGCCACTAGAGTATCATTTAGCAGGGAAGTAAACAGCTTCTCACTTTGAATATGAAAAGTGAACTTCAGAAGAACTATTAAAAACACCTCAAATACATACACCATTCAAAATATAGAAATGCCATTAACAAGAGAACAATTGTTCTAAAGCTAATGTCTACTTTCTAAGAAAACATTAAAGAGAGTTAATCTTAGAAGGAGCAATTCGATCTTACGTAAAAGTAACATCAACTTCCAGGACAGCGGCACCTCTGGGAACCTGCTCTAAGCCGCTACCTGCGGTCAGACAAAGAAGCCTCCTTTCCTCCTGAGGAGGGTGCAGTTAGTATGTGACCCAGGGTCCAGGCCACTACGTTAGGGCTCCCCAGCTGGAAACCAGAGGGGCAGGAGAGGGCTGACATGGATCAGTAGGATCTGGCTGGGTGAAACTGAGAAAAGTCTCACAGATCATTTAGTACCGTTTCCAAAATGTCTTTCCCAAAGTGACAATATTATCGTGCCCAAATCTAGCTTTTGCTAAATTTGCTATTTCAAGGGAGTATATCCAACTCTGCTAACACTAATGCACACACACTTAACGCATAATTCTGGGGGAAAGTTCTTTAATTAAGAATTATGATGTAGAGAAAAATAAGCACTTACCTTTATTTTTTTCCGATGTTTTATCTTTGGCACATTTTTATCAGCAGGCCTTACTATTTTATCTGCTTTAATCCATTCATCATATCTGAAATTAAAGGAAATTGGTATAAATAAACAGACATATACCACAGAGATACTTATGGCATATTAAAAAGAGACTCATAAATAGAATCATTTCATTTTAGAACTGGAAACAACCTTGGAGATCATTTAGTTCAACTTCCTGGTTTGATGCATAAAGCTACCAACTGCCCTGACCGGTGTGGCATTGTCTCATGCACAGAAGGGTTGAAGGTTTGATTCCCAGTTAGGGTACATGCCTGGGTTGCGGGATCGATTCCTGGTAGGGGGTGTGCAGGAGGCAGCCAATCTATATTTCATTCTCACATTAATGTTTCTCTCTCTCTAAAAATTAAGACTGCCTTTTAGTGATTCGACCATACTTCTTAAATTCTGTTATCAATAAATTCCTTATAATAAAAGCATCGGATCTAGACAAGTATCCTACCTGATATTTAACTAAAATACTAATGAAATATTTTCAAGTCTATACATGACTTATTTGAAAATATTTCTACTGAGTCATCTAACTAATGAAACAAACATGAAAGACCAGATGCACAAGCAACTCATTGAACTTCCAAAGGTCGCTCCCTGGCCTATGGGAGATGGAGGCGCTGCATCAGAGGGCCCTGAACTGATCAAGTCTGTGAACTCCAAGACCAAAAGCACGAACAAGGGCAGAGTCACGTGACAAATACGTCACAGGTGCCTATCACGTGACAGGCTCTGCACTGAGCACCGGGTACTGAGCAGTGAAGGCAGCACAGCACCTTCCCACAGAGAGCTTTCACGTGAGCAGAGAAGGCAACACTAAACGGTAATTACAAAAGGAACACCACAAACCTCTGCACCTTCTGAAAGAAGGTACGTACATATTTGTATTTTTAAAACGTGATGAATTAAAATATTTATACAAAGCTAGAAGAAATCATTCAGAGACCATAACATAATTGCTCTCACCAGAGAAAAGTCGAGTTCAAAACAAGAAAGCTTTATAGCTTTTGTTTGGATATGTTGGCAAATCACTAAGCAATCAGCAATAATAAAAATGGAAAAGAATGTCAGTCAACCAGATAGAAATGGCTTCTGTGCCCAACATCAATTCAGATGTGGTTCTTCAACCCAACTAAACCCATTTAGAATATGTTAAAATATTCACCCAAAAGACACAAGGTTCAAAACAAGAAAGCTTTATAGCTTTTGTATGGATATGTTGGCAAATCACTAAGCAATCACTTAGCAATAATAAAAATGGAAAAGAATGTCAGTCAACCAGATAGAAATGGCTTCTGTGCCCAACATCAATTCAGATGTGGTTCTTCAACCCAACTAAACCCATTTAGAATATGTTAACATATACACCCAAAAGACACAATCGTAGAGATTTTAAAAAAGTAATTACACGCAAAATAAAGATATTTCCAAAATAATTTCATAAGCAAAACCAAATTGACATAATACTAAAAACTCATTATCTAAAATATGCATAGATTAAGATAAAATGTAATAATCATTACAGTAAAATATTAATTTGTAGTTTGTTTTCTGTAATGTATATTCATTTAATAATTGCTGAGCAATACATATTTCATATCTTACTTCCTATAAACAAAAGGTTAAGTTATATATATCATATAACTAAGCTTTTCAAAACCTCATATCTAAAGTGGAAATTTACGCTGTCATTGCAAGGAGATGAAGTTTCCTCCCGTAATTAAGAACCTATGGGACACTGTAATAGAAAAAAGACCAACTCATGATGAAAAGAAGCGCTAATTATTAATAATGAACTTTATAAGCAATTTTATCAATATTTACCTAACTTGATGAATTTTCTATTATATTCTCAATTAACACATATTTTTTTATTTTTTTTATTTATTGGTTGATTTTAGAGAGAAGGGAAGGGAGAAAGAGAGAAACATCATCACTAGTTATTAATAATAAACTTTATAAGCAATTTTATCAATATTTACCTACTTGATGAATTTTCTATTATAATCTCAATTAACACGTATTTTTTTATTTATTGGTTGATTTTAGAGAGAGAGGAAGGGAGAAAGAGAGAAACATCAATTTGTTGTTTCACTTATTTATGCATTTTATATGTGCTCTGACTGGGGATCGAACCTGCAGCCTTAGCTTACTGGGATGATGCTCTAACCGAGCTCTCTGGCTATACATATATTTTTAATTTGAGAAACTATCTAAAACAAAATTTAGGAAGACTCACTGAACACCATTTTATGCTTTTAGTAATGTACTTAGGATACAACAAAAATAAAAGTATATTACTGAAAAGCTAAAATTCTAAGCATGTTATTAACACTGTATATTTCTATTTCATTTAATACTGTTAAATCCATACCAAAGACACAGGAATGGTGTTCATCATAATAAAGAAAATAACAGCATAATGATAGAAACATAAATATTATAGCATAATTTAAGATTTGACACAACCACCCCAAGAGAATGATACAGTAATGATGTCAATCCATTTTCCTAGAGAATTTAACTCTATAAAATGAAGCGAAGGTGCAGGTCTTCAGGCAGAGGTAATAAGTAGTGTTAAGAACAATGCAGAGCAGCTTTTATTTATAGACCACTTAAATGGCTAGCAACTGTGACTCAGATACTGATTTTCTAAAATATCCAAAAAACTTACTTTACTAATAATGATAAATTTAGGGGGTTCCTATTTGTGTAAATTTAGACAAACGTACTACCTGCCAATCTACAAAGCCACCAAATGAAACGGGTCCAATTTTTATGTTTTACATAAAATATACCTGCTAATCTACAAACTACTAAATGAAAAAGTCCCATTTAATAAACCCTCTTAAATTGAAAACAGAAAGAAAGCCCATTTGAGTTGTAAAGATAACTGATTCTTTATTTCACACCAAAAAAATGTTTATTTCCACTTGCACTGAAAAACTAGTCAACTCCAAAGTCATTTTTTAAGTTCACCTTATTGCTTTTAAGCTTTGTTTAACATTTCTCTACATGTAGGACTATCTGATACAAAGTATTTTGAATGCTGCAAAAAAAATTTTTCACAGCCTTTTGATTGCTATGGTAC